CAGTAGGGCGGCGCGGCTCGGCTGGGCGGCGCGGCTCGGTAGGGCGGCGCGGCTCGGCTGGGCGGCGCGGCTCGGCTGGGCGGCGCGGCTCAGCTGGGCGGCGCGGCTCGGCTGGGCGGCGCGGGTGCTTACCAGGGGCGGGTGCAGGGCAGGGCCGCAGCTGGCGGTTAGGTCAGGGCCGCGACTGGGGCGGCTGTAGGGCAGGGCCGCGACGAGGCGGCGGCAGAGCAGAGCCGCGACAGGGCGGCAGCAGGGCAGGGCCGCGACTGGGCGGCGGTAGAGCAGGGCCGCGACGAGCAGCTGAGGGCAGGGCCGCGACGGGTGGCGGCAGGGCAGAGGCCGCGACGGGCGGCGAGGTCAGGGCCGCGACGAGGGGCGGCAGGGCAGGGCCGCGACGGGCGGCTAGGTCAGGCCGCGACGGGCGGCAAGGCAGGCCCGCGACGAGGCGGCGAGGTCAGGGCCGCGACGAGGCGGCGACAGGGCAGGGCCGCGACTGGCAAGTAGGTCAGGGCCGCGACGGGCGACAGGGCAGGGCCGCGACGGGCGACAGGGCAGGGCCGCGACGGGCCGAGAAGGCAAGGCCGCGACGGGCGGCACTAGGGCAGGGCGCGCGACGGCGCAGGTGAGGTAGGCGCGAGGCGCGCTTCGGGCAGGGCAGGAAAGAAATTTTAATCGTGGTGGGCCCTAAAAAAAAACGTTCCCACTAGAGAACTTGCTCTAAAACCATGTCAGAAATGTGAAGGAAAGAATGACTAGAAAGAGAGCAGTACAAGGTTTGTATAGGCAAAACCTAATTTGGGCTATACCCCATAAGTAGTGCCCCACTACAGCCTAGAGCATATATGCATAGTTCTGACACGATCAACCCTAAGTCCCCCGTGGGATTGTAACATGTCAGAATAAAGCGAAGGGTCAGAGGCGGTTGGCAACGCGATAGTTTAGGCATAAACATTTCAAATGGGAAGGTGGAAATCGAGTTCAAGCAATTATCGGACATGTACATGGAATAGGGAAATATACCCTTAGAGTACATTGTTATGTAGGAATGTTCGTATCCTCTTTGTATTCTTATATAAAGCTATGCATTTCTCCGTTATAGTCACTTCTGTCATTTTATATTCACTCTGACAGGTGTCACCTCCCAAGTCACATTCTTCCGGTGACAGTACACATGGCATTATCCCTGATAGATTCTAAGTTACTCTACAAGTTTGTAACAGTTTCCTCGTGGGTCGTACATCTGCGATGTGAAAGTTACTTGGGTGTCGCCAGGAGCTCCCCCTGTTTCCAGAGTAGCGTGTGGAGCTTGCTGGGGCTCATCAGGGAAGGGAACGCCCAAAATATACGTTCGGTTCCATGTATTTTTAGGAAAATGAAATTGGAGGTTAGGTGTAGTTGGCGCTTATCCGTGCCCCCACCTTCACCAATAGAGAGTTACACCGTCACCTCACCACCCACCACCAACACCTAACTAGGAAGGGAATGGTGAGGGCGTGGTACAACCACAAGTTTTTACAAGAAATTCGGACTTCTAGCGCGGTTGTAAATGGTTAAGTTGCGTCTGACTATGTTGCAGTGAGTAATACTATGGTGCAGAGCGATGACGGTCCAGACTCCCAGACATTTCCTAGGTGTACGACTAGCACGAGTGAGCTCAGATGAGTTTTTGTTAGCACAATTCCGAATCATGCGCAGAATTACGCGTCGTTCCCGTGGGCCTGTGTGGCCACTCTCTGCAATTGTCACAACTCTCCTCCTCACGGCCCTCGCGCTCCCTGCTGTCACGGCCTGCTCCGTTTCCAGCGCCAACCGCGGGGCACTGCCTCCGCGCCAAGATGCCTCGGCGCGGGTGCGCAAACAACCTTTTTTGTCTCGCCTCTCTCGACTCAATCGCGCCCGTCGCTCCCTCTTGAAGCTCGACGCCGCCGCCGCCGCCGCGGTATCGAGCGCTGCGAGGCCTGTCGTTTTGGAAGGCTCACAATGTGAGTTGTTTGGTTGTTTAGGGCTCCCTGCCTCGCGACATCCTCCCTCCCAACGGAGGAGCTCCGGTTCTCACGGAGTATAGATTTCGAGCACACGGCGTAGCTGCTGCCGTTCCAACTCATTTTTCAGAGTCAGTCGTCACGCACTCATCACAAAAATCAAGCAGTGGAATTCCTCCCGAAATGAGTTTGTCCTGAACTTTTTTAGGAGAAGTATCGAAGTTTTTCTAGATGTTTTGTCAGTTGCTTTCCAGATGATTTCACACGTTTCGAGAGACTTTGGAAGAAGGCAACCCAAACTCAGCCTTGACTATGCAAGAAGTTCCGCAAAACTCTTTTATGTAAAAGGGTGGATGCCACAAAAACTCTTTATTGTATTGGAAATGAGCTAGAATATCATTTCAAAATATGCAATGCTCAAATCTGTAGGCGGTCAATTTCAACCATTGTAAACACCTCTAAACGTCTGTAAACCATCCCGGACTGCCAAAACGATTACAAGAAGATTCAAAGAAGATATTCAAACGCTTTTCAATCACAAGTGCCCAAATCAAATGGTCAGATGATTTACAGATGTACACATTTTTGTGATGCTGGCGCTGGGAGATTCAAATCTGCTCCGTTTTTCTCCGCTAATAGTGGCAGTGAAGGCGCTGGTGCAGCTGAAGGAGGCGTGGGGCATGTGGGCGGGCAACAGCAACGCCACCACTACGTGCTCTGCATGGACTGGCGTCACCTGCAGCCCCAAGGGGCTCGTCACCGCCCTGTGCGTCCCATTGCCGCCCCTCATTGCCCTCAATGCTCTCGTTTTCAATGCTCTCAATGCTCCTCCATCACCCCTTGTCGCCCATGAGTGCTCTGTCGCCCTCACATTCATCATTGCGCCACCGCTACTAATTGCTTTTGCACATGCAACAATCCTGGATTCTGAGTGTGTGAGTGAGGGAGAGATGGAGGGAGTCGGAATCTGGACGGGAAAGGGTATGGGGTGGGAGAGGTGGGGTGGTGGGATCGAATGGACTGGATACTGTATTGCGTGCATGGTTGTCTTGGAAGGGATTCAAAGCTATTCCCTGATGCGGATCCTCCCCCCAGTGGCGCCATACCCGCCTCCATCACCACTCTCGCCACTCTGCAGTACCTGTTCTTCACCACCCACCCTCTCTCTGCTACATCCCTCATTTGCCCAACATCTGCGAGCTCTTGTGTTCCCACTTTCTTTCCTTCTCTGTCCACACGCCACAGCTGACCATTCTCTCTCTCTGCACTTGATGCGTCACTTTTCCAAGGGTCGATTCTATCTTTCCATTGGCCTCTCCTCCCATCCCACAGCGATCTGACCTACATTGATTTGGTGGGGCCCATTCCATCCCTTGCCAGTCTCACCGCCCTCACCCACGTGTACGTGCCGCTCATGGCCTCTCCACCCGACAACCATGCATGCACTATGTATTGGATGGGCCAGCAGACAATAGCTTTTTGTCTCTGCTGGCAGATTGGATGGGCCATTCTTGGTAAAATGTCTGGCACAGATGCACTGCTGGCCCATCGAATATGCCCCCAATCTCGAGCTGAAAGACAATGTGGCATGCCAACTATGATATAGTTTGGATGGCCAACAATGTTTACTTGCTCGCGTGGCGAAAAGTGCATGCAGCGCAAACAGTGGTTGCAGGTTGGTGCGGGAGGAGGAGAGCCAAGCCAGTCCCATTCTTGAGCTATAGCGGAGAATAAAGGCATCTCCAACCCCTCCCCTCCCCCCCTCCCCCTCCTCCCACCCCCCTCCCCCATCCCGCCCCCTCCCCTCTCTTCCCCCCCACCCCCCATCTTCCACAACGTCACCACGTGAATTCCCCCTCCCACCTCCGTTTTCTCGCACCGCTCACTTCATTACCATTCGCCCCCGCTACTGCTCTTGTAGTAACCTTTTACAAATAATGATATCTGGTGCCTTTATATACTCTAACCCCGTGGCTTGTGTCCCCAATGCCCACTGTTTGTGCCACGTGCACCGTGCATGTGTGCTATTGCTGCTTGCATGCCACGTGTGCACTCAGAGCTATTGGAACGGACGGCAACAGGCTGACTGGCACTCTGGACGGACTGGCTTGGCTCTCCTCCCTCACCAACCTGCAAACACTGTACGCCCTGCAAGCACTGTTGGCGTTGCAAGCACTTTTCGCGCCGCAAGCAAACATTGTCGGCCACCCAAGCCATGATCGTTCGCCCTGCGAGCAAACAATGTTAGCTTACATGTGGGTAATTGGCATACCATACCACTTTGTCTTTCAGCTTGGGATGCTGCATCGCTCCAGCTACCCATGCAGAAGCCCCATGCTCCTATCCTATACCCCCTCTCATGCCTCACTGACCTCTCACCACCAGGAGTCTAGTGAGCTTGGCTGAATTCACAGGGGACTTGTCTTCCCTGCACATTCTTTCCCGCTTGAAAAACCATCAACAGCTGTAAGCATCATCAAGGTGCACAAGATATTGCAGTCACGTCGTGTTTCTATTCCTAGTAGTCATGATACCGTGCTGTTCTGTGACTTGCATTTGGCACTTGATTTACTCTTGCTGAGTACGTGTGCATGCACGCAGGCAACTTGTTTCGTTCACCAACGCCATAGGGGAAATACCCAGAGAGATTTGATACTTGACAGTCCTCACTGCACTATAAGCTGGACCCCAGTCCCAAGATGGAACCAACCAAATAAGTAATTTCGTCTATGTTCACTAGAGTGCAGATTTTAAATTGATCGCTTGTCTACATGACATGTTGCTCGTGCCTTCCTCCCTCCAGGGACCTATCCTACCTTCGTGCTGTGGAGTTTCCTGATTGGGTCACTCACCTCTCCAACCTTCAGTATCTTTGAGCGCATCCTACTTTCCTCTGGTTCTTCAACATTGCCACATGCCTCATCTTCCACGAGGGACACCATTGCCATGACTGAGCGTGTCTCAATGCTGAGAATCTTGCCGGCGTTGCCTTGTGCGCAGCAATGTAAATGCGGACGATCAACGCCGGCAGGGCCTGTTGAAGGACGACATATCTGAGCTCACAGCACTCACCAGCCTGTGAGTTTAATGCACATGGGAACGTGGTGAGAAGGGTTGCTTGGAGTTTTCTCTTAAGTAGGGTGATGCTAGTCTAATTTTCAACCTTTAACTGTAATTCACCAGGAAAAGGAAGCTATCTCAATGCCAAGGTTATGTGACTAGTACCAGTGCTGTTTCATAAGCACATGACATGTACGGTGTGTCTCGCTAAAGGTGATATGGATTAACACACCTCTCGCCGCACCATGTGAACTCTACCCTTGCTCCATTGCCGCCTCCAGTAGGGCAAGAAAGGCACTCTTGAATCCAGCCCATCAACTGAAAGTGCACGCGTCCATCCCTTGCACGCATCCATCCCTTGCACGCGTCCATCCCTTGCACGCGTCCATCCCTTGCACGCGTCCATCCCTTGCACGCGTCCATCCCTTGCACGCGTCCATCCCTTGCACACGCGTCCATCCCTTGCACGCGTCCATCCCTTGCACGCGTCCATCCCTTGCACACGCGTCCATCCCTTGCACGCGTCCATCCCTTGCACGCGTCCATCCCTTGCACGCGTCCATCCCTTGCACGCGTCCATCCCTTGCACGCGTCCATCCCTTGCACGCGTCCATCCCTTGCACACGCGTCCATCCCTTGCACGCGTCCATCCCTTGCACGCGTCCATCCCTTGCACACGCGTCCATCCCTTGCACGCGTCCATCCCTTGCACGCGTCCATCCCTTGCACGCGTCCATCCCTTGCACGCGTCCATCCCTTGCACGCGTCCATGCTCTGCAGATCCATCAGTGGAAACAACCTGGAGGGCTACCTATCCAAGAGCTGGTCCACATTGGTCAATCTGCAGGAGCTGTGAGTCACTGCTTGCCATACCATGCTGTCATGCTGCCATCCTGCCATCACGTAATGCGGTTTCCAAATACCACTCTGCTGGCAGCAGCATTTCTGTTGCATGCACCATGCCAATGCCCATCTTGACAAACCCAACAACACTTGATTGCATCCTTGGTATGGCAAGCTTGTATGTTTTGTTCTCTTCCCTTGTTTCCATTCAGATATTTGAACTACAACCACCTCCAAGGAACCATTCCAGCAACATTTTCGGCTCTAACAGCCCTATCTTTATTGTGATTTTCCTGTGTTCTCCCTCCTTCCCATCATCTGAATGAACCACACCCTGTCTCCGCCAGGTTCCTTGGTCTCCTGCTCATTAAGTACACCGCTAATCATTGTTCCATGTATGTGCCATTGCAGAGACATTTCGTGGAATTCTCTTTCTGGTTCGATACCCCCAGCATTCGGCACCAACATTCAGACGTTGTATGTCACCCACTCGTGTATAAGTGCCCTCCTCTTCCGTTTGTGCACCGCATGCTGAACCGTGTCCTTATCTTCGTGTCGTTTGCACTGTGGCTCCTTCCTTCTGTCGAAGGTCCAGCTACAATTTTCGAAGGACACTGGTCTTCCTTTGATTGTATAAACTAAACCCGCCTGCCTGGATGCCGTGAACCGACACAACATCCATTTTGAAAAGCAATATTTACTATTTTTTATCAAACACTATTCCATTGGAGCTGCCCCAGTTTCATGGTGTGCGTTGTTTTTGCTGTGATCAAGAGAGAAAAATATGGTTTTCGTAAAATACTTTTATGGTTGTTTGTTTTATACCGTCAAATAAATCTGGCCAATTTCGCTGCTAGATTTAGTTGCAGTAGACGGAACTCATCGCCAAGCTCATTGTTTATAAACAGCCAGCTAGTTTTCCATCACTCTTCTAGGCAAGGTTAGAATATGGCCGTACTTTTGACACTGCTCTACCATTTCTCACAGCGGCTTATTATCCGTGACCGTTGTTACGGTAGTTTTCTCCCAAAAAAAAAAAAAAAAAAAAAAATCTATTTGAACTACACTCATTAGCGATTCTTGTGGAAACTTTTTTTTCAGATTGTGGGGTATCCCCGGTTTCTTCCTCTTCCCCATTTTTTTTCGCCCCTGCCTGGAAATGTTTTCCCTGCCCGACCCAAGCGTATCTCAAGTATTTCGACCTGGACATTCCAGCGTCCAGCGTGTAAATCCTAGCGTCTGGACGCCAGCGTGGGGACGCTGGACGCTTCCATGCGCACTTAGCTTTTTACTTACCTACACTTAACTGAATTGCTGGGTTTGCATATAATATGATCATTCTATGAGATTCTGACACCATTGCTTGTTACTTGCATTGGCTCTTTCTATCCATACCAACATACCCACCCTCACCCTATTCCCCATCCCCGCCCCCCCACCTTCTGATTGTAAAGTCTCCTTTATTTTTGGCTCACTTCCTACTTTCTCCCTCCCGATCCCGTCCTCCATCCTTTCCTCCTTGTCCCAAACTTCCCCCAAAACCCCTCCTCTTCTACTCTCTTTATTTTTTTGTACCACCATGCTGCCCCATCCCTAGCTACCTTTGCTCCAATCGTTTCTCTTGATAAATTTACCTCCTAATAGAGTCACCTTTGTCCCTATAAAGTCGCCCAGCTTCCTGTGCAGGTGAGGTGACATTTGGTCACACAGAATGCTGAAATGAATCGCTGACTCACATGTCCTGCCTGCCTATCTAGACTGCTTGGATACAATTCTTTCAGTGGACCCATCCCACCACACCTCGCAATGCCCAACCTCGTTGAACTGTGAGACCCATTCTTTGAACCACCTACATACTGGTTCCTTTGAACCCATTCTTGTTACTGTATGTCTACTTCTGCCTAGCCCCATATATAAATCCCCGCCTTTCCATACCACTGTTCTGTCCAATGTTTCCTGCTGGGCTGTCCTGGCTGCAGTCAGTTAACCAATAATCTGTTCACAGGAGGCATCCCCAACACCTTCACTCAGCTTACTGGCATGAGTCTTTTGTACGTGTCTCCCCACATTCACTCCCCACCGTTTGGTTATCCCTGTACCCACTAAGCTGTTGGCTAAGAAGATGACAGAAGCACAGCATTTGATCCGTATTATCACAAACTACTGGTTGTTCATTGCTGTGGATTTGTTATCAAGATATTACGTTCCCTGCCTTGTTCTTGTCGCCTCTAACGTGTGTGCCTGTGTCTCCACTGCACAACTTGTCAGAATCCTTGCTAATAACTGTCTCAGCTCAGGCCTTCATGTGGTGGCTCAGATGACATGGCTCACAGACATGTAAGGATTCCCCCCTCCTCGCCTCCTCATGTTCCTGACATTGGTCTCCCTCGCCCTTGTAGCTTTTCCTGCTTGCATTGTCTGAGCCACTTCCTTGAGATCTCACTACCAACAACTTCTCAGAGGTCTGAGTACCAACAACTTCTCTGGTGTTCTTCCAGCGTCCTTAGCAGCAATCAAGGGCCTCTCCTCCCTGTGAGTCCATTATATCCATCAGATTCTTTACACCTACCTCGGTTGGATGAAACAACAGCTAGGGTTCCGACTACCCCTAATTTAAGGGAACTCGAATGACATTGGGGTCTCTTTAATCAGCGATGCTCATTGTTTTTTCCACTTTTTTTAATTCAACTTACATCTTCACATGTTCGCCTGTCTCCATTTGTGCGAATGCACACCGTTGTGGACGGATACTTTTTTTTTTTTGCCCATGTGTTCACGAATGCCTGTACATGAGTGCCTGAATGTATGCTAACCCATACATCATTCTGCATGAATGTGTGTTCTTCGTCTTCGTCTCCCCACCTCATTCGTCAGGTCTATCGGTAGCAACCACTTCACTGGAACCTTCCCTGATTGTATTTTACAACACAAGAGCCTCCAATCTCTGTAATACCTGGCACTTTAGTTTCCAGACAGTGCTTCCACCTGCTTGAACTGAATTGTGGGCCTGGACGACCCCGATATCCAGGCCGTCCCGATCCGGCTCAAAATCGTGCGTGGTCATGGTGGGTTGCACGGGTGGAACAAGCGCTACCATATTCATCGAATCGTGAAGCATCTCTCTTCCATTAATGCCTTGAAACATCCATCTAAACAGCTAATGTGGCGTTTGACCATGACAGGGACTTGGGCAACAACAGTTTCACTGGGACAATCCCTCGCCAATTGACCAGACTTGTCAACTTGTACAGCATGTGAGTGGGTACCTTCAAGGGGTGGGGCAATAGAATAACTGCTATGCAGAGCACTCGTTTTGGGTTGAAGAGCCTTCAGTGCCTTTTACGTGGATTTTCTAGATGAATTTGATCAGATTGAGACCCTTGATGATATTGCTCAGTTATCTCAATGACAACAATTTCCGTGGAGCTATCCCATCCGGCCTGTTTCAGCTATCCATGCTGGACACACTGTAAGTACCTCCACACCTCCATTGCAACTTCTGTTCCCAAAACATTTTGTTCCATCTAGTAGCACCTTGCCACTGCTATAATCTCTGCCTGCTCCTTGAAGAGCCGTTGAAGATTACACATATAAATTTAAGTATTTCTGTGAAGTTCTGTTGCATGGTGCCGTGCCGGTTTCCCCTGAAGTGCCACTACTTGCTTCAGGTTTTGCCTCCTGCATCTACCCATTCTTCTACTTCCCAGCCCTAACCCCACCTTACATCTGTTCATGGCCCCCCACGCATGCATGTTATTTTGAAATTTCCTCCTTTCATCTGGATGAAACTGCTCCTTCCCTTCATTTCCCCTCCTTCCACATGCAGGAACGTAGCCAACAACTTCCTATCTGAGGGGCTTCCATATACTCTCAATGCCCCTCCTACTCTTCAAATACTGTAAGCAGCAGTGCCACCATTGTGTGCCTGACACCAAAGTGTATTCCAGTACTACTTTGTGTGTGGGGAGCTACCCGTTTCTGTTTGTTCCTTATGTAAATGCCCCTGGAATCTTCATTTGCTGCTCTTTCTGCCCCTCTTGCGATCTGCAGTGATATGGCAGGAAATGGATTCAGCGGCTCCTTGCCAGACTTCTCTCGCTGGAATGTCAGCTGTCAGCAGATGTAAGCCTCTCCATACCCTCTTCCTTTCCTTCCTTCCGAGAGGATTTCCACTCTCAATATCGCTTGTACCATCTCGTTCTCAACTATACATGCGTATGCGGCAATACGAGTCTAGTCGGGCTCATATCGACCTGAGTCAATATTGAGTTGGATCCAGATGATTTTCGGGGATGGGCCCAAAACGGCCCCAAAACAGGCCCAAAACGGGCTGAGACGAGTGATCCACTACCATATTCGCCATGCCGGCACCACTCGACTAGAGCCGAGTTGGGCGAGATTAACCATATACAACATATCACCCATATCAGGTAGCTTCTCTGCTCCTTGTTTGCAACAAACATGCTCTGCTATCAACTCTCAAGAGTACTTCAGAAATGACGCGGCTTGGAAAAATCTGCCTTTATTGCACTCTTAAGAACATCTACAGATGGTCATTGGGTAGCCAACGCCCATTTGGATACCTGCATTGGGTAGCCGCAGGTATCCGTACTATGGATGGATTCCTACAGCCCGTGCCATTTGGGAAAGAGTCAAAACTAGACTTGCTGCCCTATCTATATGTTCCGCACACTGGGCTCTGTGACATTTACTGGAACCCATGATGACCAGAATTACTTGGCCGAAAGAGTCAAAACTATACTCGATGCCCATACCCCATCTATGTTCTCATCACACTGGGTTTTGTGACGTCCACTTGAACGCAACATTAGCAGCTGCATTCACCCAACTCATGTCTCTTGCAGCCTTGGTTGTGTTGTTCAGAGCTCTCAGCGGCAACAACTTTACAGGGTCAATTCCTGATTCCATCGCCACCCTCACCACTCTTGATGCCATGTGAGCCATGTCAACGTGCCCTTCAACAGATGCCCCGCCCTTCACCACATATCCAACATTCAAGCAACGTCAGCCTAAATCTTTGGTCGGGTTCTAAATGTTTGGTCGGGTCGAATCAACCCGACCCGACCCAACATTTTTGCCCAGGCCGGGCCGACCTTTCCCAAAAGCTGACCCGGCCGTGTGAGGCAAGGTATACTCTGCCAGGTTGGGTCGAGCAGTGGGGGGGGCAGGTCGGACGTGGCCCTCTAATGCAAGGTTTCTGAAAACTTGGGCCGGGGGGGGGCCAGACCGGTCCGACCCGGAACCCGCCTGACCCGGCCAAATAGGGTCGGGTCGACCCAGGTTGGGCCATATGCTCATGCCTACCTGAGTTGTGGGAGAATGCTACCAGTGGTGGCGTATGCGTGGGCAATGCTCATGTGCTAACAGCAGCGGCTCAATGTGCACTTCTCTTCCCATGCCCCTACAGCATCCTCAACAACAACCAACTGACAGGCACCATCCCGTCTGCTATCTTCAGCATGACGAATCTGAAATTCCTGTAAGTTTCAAGGATCCATGAAGTGTTTGTTTGTGCCACTGCCCGGTGGCGTTTCCTTCACCACCCCTCATTGCTCCAGCATATGCAACGTCTCATTGCAATGTCTCCCTGCCATTGCCCTCCAGCTACATGGCCAACAACCGTCTGAGTGGAAGTCTGCCAGCTGCCATCAGCCGACTGGAGAACCTACAACAGATGTGAGGGTGCTAACTGTCTTCCTCCTCGTGGCAGCAGTGTGTGGATGAAAGAAAACCAGCACAAGAAAATCAAGCACATTATGGTTGTTGCAACGTCACCATGTGCCGGCCTTCCCCACCAAGGCGCAAACTACGGTTTTTTGCATTTTTTACTGGGGGGAAATGGCATCATATAATGGCCCTTTACATCTGTTTGATACGGTTCGACATGTGTGGTGCTTATGGTAAAAAGGAAATGAAAAAAATATAAAAGTAGTGGTCGTTGTTTTCAAACCAGGGGCACCAACTTGGCATGAGCAAAAGGCGAAATCATGGTCGAATAGTTTGAAACACTTAAAATTCGACTACGTAAGTCGAGCATCGGGCTGTGTGTGTGTGTGTGCGTGTTTGTGTGTGTGTGTATGTGTGTGTGTGTGTATGTGTGTGTGTGTATGTGTGTGTGTGTGTGCGTGTGCGTGTGCGTCGCATGCGCATCGCGTGCGTGTGCGCGTGTGCGTGTGCGTCGCGTGCGCGTGCGCGCGTGCGTGCGTGCGTGCGTGCGTGGTGTTTGTGCGTGTGTTTGTGTGTGTGTTTGTGCGTGTGTTTGTGCGTTTGTGCGTGCGTGTGTGTGTGTGTGTGTGTGCGTGTTTGTGCGTGTGTGTGTGTGTGTTTGTGCGTGTGTGCACGTGCGTGCACGTGCACGCACGCTCATATATGTACGAATGGACCGTATTTTGGTGGATTTTGTATTTCTGAAACTTGCTGTCCACCCTGTTGCTCATATGTTGTTACACCTACTTATGCACACAAGCATAGCGCACGCATGCGCATATGCACATTGAACCCGTTCGGTTTGCCACGAATCCATTTTCAGAAGTAGGTGTTCGTCTGTTCGCTATCACAGACAAACACTTGGAGTTTGCCGCGAACCTCTAGGGGTTTGCCGCGAACTCGAACCTGTTTGGGTTTGGTAGCCATTCCCTACTGTCAGATACTTGGGTGCAGAAAAAAACTCAAGGGCCTGCCCACTGTTGACAGTTTATAGTACTGTCAGCTAATTACAAAACCAGCGCGTCAAGCGCTGGTTTCTTCTCGAACTCTAAGGGTTCGCTCTTAGGGCGGATTCCTAACTTCGTGTCATCCGCACTTCGTGTCATCCGAAAAAAAAAAATCCCCGAGCCAAGGGTTTGCCGATTCGACTTCGGGTCATCCGACGCGGCACATTTGGAATGACACAAGGGCACGAAGGGCCGGATGACACGAAGTTAGGAATCCGCCCTTATTCCCGCGAAATCGACGAACAGCGTGAACGCGTTCGTGGCGAACGAGGGCATTCGACACGAACGTTTTTGGGCAAAAAAAAAAAAACCGCTCGGTTCGCAACGAATGAGTTCGTGACGAACCGAATGGTGGTTCGCAATATTTCTCATGCCTATTCTGAAATGTCACTGGTGCCAGCACCTCTCCAACCTGTTCGCCGGGCAACCAACCATTGGCATAATTGTGCCTCCTGTCACTTCTCTACCTGTTCCCACAGCTGGCTGGACAACAACAGCATCGAAGGCCCTCTTCCAAGTAGCCTGTGCTCACTTCCCTGGCTCTGGCGAATGTGAGTTGTTGTGGTGCACTCGCGCGAGTATATGCCCTATGTCATACCCGAGTGAGAAATTTGACTGCAAAAATTGTGAGACGTGATCATAGGGAACGACTACCTCAGTGCCTATGCCATTTGGTCTGGGTGTGACTAATTCTGCGTCATGGTATGTGTCACACTGTTGGCAGCATGATGAGCAACAACTACCTCTACGGGCCCCTGCCAGACTACCTCTTTGACAAGTGTGTCAACCAAATGTGAGAATCTTGATTCCAAGCAGCTCGCGCCTTCAAGATAATCACCACGTGGAGTAACAAGAGACATGAGTTCATAGAGTAAATGGTGGTGTGACCACATCCAAACACCTAAAACCTTCTTTTACCCTGTGTCTGCCCCCTGTGCTTCCCATAGCGATGTGAGCAACAACAGCCTGTACGGGCGCGTCAACCGCGACTTCAAGAACATGGTGGCAGACGGTGGTGCCCTCATCAACTTGGCTCACAACTTCTTCTTCGGTGATGCCGTGCTCTTTGCTGCCGGCTGCAAGGTCTGCCCCACTGAGATCACCGAGCCCAACAGCCTAGACATGGGGGATACCAATGATGGCCAAGGGGCTGGGAAGTGCATTAGTGGCGTAATATACATGAGAGATTAGTCGGTTGCCGAGGCAGGCAAGGGTGCAAGTGTGAGTCTGTCGGGCAACTGCCTGACGCTCAGCCCAGAGGCGGCTTGCCCCTCCAACGCCACCCAGCGCAGCACGGCAGCCTGCCAGGCGTTCTGCAGCATCACGGACAACGGCCCGTGTGACGGCCACGGGGCATGTGTGCCGCCTGCCCCCGCCTCCCCCTCCAACTTCACCTGCCTCTGTGATGCCGGCTACTCTGCTGTCGACCTGGGCAACGGCTCTACCTGTGCCATTGTCAACTCCACCACCACCACCACCACTGGTGAGCCCTGCTGAAATTCGTTGCGGCATTTGAAGATGTTCTTGTGTTGCCCCATATCATGTAAGTATTCCTACCCATAACAATTCTCCCTTTGTCACCCTCATCGTTCGCCTTTGCTCCCCAAAACCCTCTTGCCCCATCCCCTCACTTCCCCTCCCCACTTCATTACCCCAATCCCCTCATCTGGCACTCCTAACCCTCCTCTCACCGTTCCTTCTTTCCTCTGCCATGGCAGTGTCCTCCCTGTCCACGGGCGCCATAGTGGGCATTGCTGTGGGTTGCTTTACTGGCTCCACTTTGCTGGCTGCTGTGGTTGCTTGGCTCCTGTGGCCCCGCGGACCAAGTGAGCCTTTCATCCCTTGTTCCATTCAGTCTCTCCTTTTGGTGCAGCCTCCTCCTATGACCCCCCTGCTCTGCCCGTTCGTGCAGTACAAATCGCCCCCCCATGCTCTGTCTGATCATCTACACCCTTGATTGGTCACCCATCCAATCTGTCTCGGTGTGTGAGCACAGAGAAGTGGGAGGGGCTGGATGTGTGCGAGCAGTTCTCGCTGCAGCAGATGGTGAAGGCCACCAACAACTGGTCGGACGACAATGTGCTGGGCAAGGGTGGCTTTGGCATTGTCTACAAAGGCTACTCGCCACAGGGCCAGCTGTGGGCCATCAAGCGCTCCAAAGTTATGACCAATGACTTTGAAACAGAGGTAAGGCATACCTCACCTCAGTGTAGCAGCCTCTTCCACGCATGGGAAACAAGAGAAACACATGTTTTGTTTTGTTTTGTTTTGTTTTTTTTTTTCCTTGAGTGCTCACTATTCATGTGCACGTATCTGTATTGGGTTTTCGACTGCAGGTGCGAGCCATGGCCTCTCTCCACCACATGCATCTCGTTCGCCTGCTGGGATTTTGCGTGGACCAGAACGTGGAGACGGGCAAGCAGGAGCAGATCCTGGTGTACGAGTTTGTGGGCAACAGAGACCTGGAATACCATATCTACAAAACAAAGAGTGAGTTCTGAGTATCAAGGTGGTTGTTGGGCAATCGCTGTCTCTCTGAGAACATAACACCATTATGTAAGAACTTGAGCTTGAACTTATACTTACGTAATGAGCTCAAGGCTCTTTAAGTACATTACGTTGACGACATTCCGCTCTCGCTGCGCCAGAGGTTGCTCCTGGCACAGGGAGCAACAGAGGGCCTGGCGTATCTACATGGGTTTGAGACACCCATCATTCACCGCGACATCAAGCCGGCCAACATCCTTGTGACTGCCGACTTTCAAGCCAAGGTGGCTGACTTTGGGCTGCTCAAGCTCCTCACTCATGGCGACGCTGATGTTACCCGAGTAGCCGGCACTCCGGGCTACGTGGACCCGGATTACAACCAAACCAGCATCATCACCGCCAAGAGTGATGTGAACAGGTTCGCATGCTTGTTGCTTTGTACATCACAACAAATATATGAACACATTGATACTTCAGTATCCTGATTTCCAGTTACTTCCCTGTACTATACATCACAATTTCAGCCGTATTCCTCTTTGTCCAATTTCGTGGCTGCTTGCAGCTTTGGCGTCGTGCTTATGGAGTTGCTCAGTGGAATGTCACCTCAAGACACCAATGAATCGCACATGCGAGAATGGGTATGTTCATCAAAATCAATGTCTCTGACCTCGTGCTTCCATTCCCGCACACTGATCATATTATCGTGCTGACTTCCGCTGCCATTGCCCGTTGACATGCTCCTTTGTCTCCCAGGCAAGGAAGAAGATGGAGACGTTTCATCAGGACGACCTCAAGGACAGCAAGATGCCGGCGGTGAGCAAGGACGCCATTGTAGACATTGCAGACCTGGCTTTGGACTGCATGAAGTCACCAGGCACACGGCGGCCCAGCATGAAGGACGTGGCATACCGCCTCACTGCGCTCATTGAGAAGTACTGCCCTGACAAGGAGGACGATTCAGAGATTCTCGGAAAAGAAGAGAGTGCAAGCAGCGGAGGTCTGCCGTCGAGGAACATTTCTTCTATGCTGTTTGGAGACGGTGGGAGGGATTCTCAGAGGACTTCTGGCTCGCATCCTAGTGCGATCTCATCCATGAGCATTGGCTCAATGGCTGATGGCGTCAGGAGCTGGCTACATCTGAAGCCAACGGGGGGGTACTGAACTGGCACTTCATTAGTAGATTTTGTTTGTTGCAATAACAGAGAGAACAGGTTCCAGGGCAGGGTTGTAATTTGTCTCTGTGCTGTTTTCTTTGTGGGTGGTTGAGGTGATGACGCACATTTGGTAGTTTGAGTGGCGATTGCCATGTAAACCTATGTGAATACTGTTGTGCCTCACTGCTAAAAAGGCTCAAATCCAGTTATCACTTCACACATGCGAGCAGCAGGTGCTACAAGCATTCATACACCCATAAGGCAGCATCATGAAAAACTCGTCTACACTGGGGATGTTATGTTGTGAGGGTCAGCCGGGCATAGCAAGGCAGAGTAACCGTTATCCACTAGCTCTCGTGCTTCACACCCATCTTTCATCCTTCTGGACTTTTGCATTGGCCTTCCATTACCGTATTCTCCCGGATAAAACACCCTAGGGTATTATGAAAACCACTGGAAAAAAATGGGGGGGGTCTCCTCAAAGGAAAATCCTACATAATACCCGGGTCTTATTATATGGTATATTTTTTATCAAGCAGAAAAGATGTGAAACAAAATCAGAGGTGAGGCATACCTCACCTCAGTGTAGCAGCCTCTTCCACGCATGGGAAACAAGAGAAACACATGTTTTGTTTTGTTTTGTTTTTTTTTTTTTTTTTTCCTTGAGTGCTCACTATTCATGTGCACGTATCTGTATTGGGTTTTCGACTGCAGGTGCGAGCCATGGCCTCTCTCCACCACATGCATCTCGTTCGCCTGCTGGGATTTTGCGTGGACCAGAACGTGGAGACGGGCAAGCAGGAGCAGATCCTGGTGTACGAGTTTGTGGGCAACAGAGACATGGAATACCATATCTACAAAACAAAGAGTGAGTTCTGAGTATCAAGGTGGTTGTTGGGCAATCGCTGTCTCTCTGAGAACATAACACCATTATGTAAGAACTTGAGCTTGAGCTTATACTTACGTAATGAGCTCAAGGCTCTTTAAGTACATCCGACATGATTAAGGAATGGGTGTGGACAACACGTCGGCCATGACGGTCGCTCAGGGCTTGGGGCTGAAGGGCAACCTCAAGCACATGGAGCAACGCTACGCCTGGCTGCAGCAGATGGTGAAACACGGGAAGTTCGAACTGCAGTACATCCCGACCACCGAGCAGCCGGCCGACTTCCTGACGAAAGCGCTGCACTTTCCGGCCTTCAACTGGTGCTCCATCGCGATCGGCCAAGTGCGCCTGGCTGATGTCGGCGACGGGGATGACGACGTGCAGCAGTAGGTGCCATGCCCTTTTGCATGGCTGGTGCGCTGATGGCGTGCTGTATGTGGGGTGCACGCCGACGACGAGTTTTCTTCGTGCAGTTCTGCCGTGCAGGTTGGGAGCCCAAGCGTGAGTGCGGTAGGGGAGTGTTAATGGGAATGGAGTGTTGGCCCCGGCCTCGCTTGGGCGAAGCCGACGTAGTGGTGCGTGGGAGGTGCAGCCGACCATCTACAGAGTTCGCCACATGCAGGTCGACGGAGTTGGTCGACCTGCAGAAGACCACTGTGCGGTCGTCGACGACGGGAAGCCGGCGTCAGAGCTCTACTGGAGTGGTCGACGAAGGGGTTCGTCGACCTGCTTTGGGGGTGGTCGACGAGGGTGATTGTCGATCTGTGCGGGTCTGTCGAGGAGCCGTCGAAGATGGGAGCTCGACAGCAGCTGCTGACCGAGCTGCTCGATGGAGGGGTCTGTCGACTAGGGTAATCTTTTGACGGGGGAGTGGTCAACAAGGGAGGTCGTCGACCAGGGCGCTGGGTGGTCGACTGGGTCGACCAGGTAACCTCGACGAGGTTCCGCGGAGGCACGCGAGGCTCGTCGAGGCTGCGATGGCGAGGGCGACCTCGGGCTGGTATATTGAGGTCAACGTGGAGCGTCAGGCAGGATATTCGGATGTGGCCGACTTGGTACCCGCGCGACGGTAGAGAACGTGCCGTCGCCGCGCACCTACGAAGTGGGTGTGCACTTGCGCTACTGTAACCTGCGGATGCTACGCTGGCAAACCGCTCTGCTGCAGAGTTGGCAAGTCGCCTTGTCGACCTGCTCTGTTGGCGGGCAGCCTTTCCGTAGTGCTAGCGCAGTGCCTCTACGCAACACTGGCAGATTGTCAACTTTGGTGCGCTGGCAGTCGACCTGCCTGTCTGCTAGGTTGCTAGGCTCTGATGTAGTCATTCATGTCATTGTGATTTTTTTCATTCTGCAAAGTAGCTTTCATTAGTGAAACTCTTGCCAAATCTTCCTGTGAATGCGCAAGCGCTAAGCAATGCAGGCAAAGCCACGATCACTCCTAGAACTCGTGCCAACCCCCCCCTACCCCCCCCCCCCCCGTAGTCTAGCTCCCGACCGTTGTAGAGTGAATCTCCGCACTGCCGACTCGCCATGACCTCGCACTGGTGCAAGCGCGCAAGTGGTGACCAGAACCTGCAACGCATCAAATGGCAGGGGCTACTAGCGGAAAGGTGGGTGCTCAGCTCACAGCAGAGATTTAGGGCGTGGCTCCATTTTGCCCCTGACGGTTGTAACCGTCGACGGTTCGAACCGACGACGGGTTTACTTAATTCGCATGGTTTCGTTAAAGCTGCGGCCTACATACCTCAAGGGACGGGCCTTGGTTTATCACTTGAAAACCAGGTGAACCAAGTACCTGTCTGGGGAGAAACCTTCGAGGCGGAAAGAGGGAGGGGACTGGGGGTTCCCAAACCAGCCGAGGCCGTGTTCGATAGCAGGTGTTTGTTTTGCAACGGAACGGGAGAGGGAAAAGTTTAGTGATTGCAAAATTTTGTTGCGCCTGGTTCTGGATGAAACTCACAAAACCAACCCCCCGCGTCCCCGTTCCGTAAGGCTATCGAACAGGGCCCGAAACTTTACCTAGGTTTTCCGCCCTTCGGCGCATTCATCCCCCAAACCTCCCCCCCTCACGAAATAACAACAGATTCGCTTGAGTCTGTTTTCCCAACCCATCGCCCCTAGCGAAACCCAACAGTTCCGCCAAGTCTTGTTTCACTATGTCGCACGCACTGTTCTGGAAGAGAGCCTCTTCGCAAGCCAATCAACGTGTGTCAAAGGGTGTGCAATAGAAATACCCCCAGAAAATACCCAGAAGTATGTAGACCGCAGCTTTAAGGAGTTTGTGAAAGAATGTGCGACATGGCCAACAATCCAAACCGTGGTGTCACTTTTCCCTCTTTCAACGATTCAGAATCTGAACCTTGACATTTCAGAAACCAAACGGACGGAAAAACAGTTCTGACTGGAGATTGGCGCGCGAATTCACATAGCGCGGGAAAAACATGTCGTGAGTTGTGTAATGACGCTACAAAGCCTCTAATGATGCTACAGTACTTCGGGAAATTCAAAACTGTGAAACAAAGTGACAGTACTGCTTCCGGACGGGGCAAAGTTCCGAAACGTCAAACTGGACAGTCCGGTTCTCGATATTGGGACCGTCCGGTTCTAATTGTCATGTATAAGGCATTTCCTTTGCGTGAGTTGGACTTGCTTTGCATGAGTTGGACATGCTTCATAATGTGAATTTGGCACTGGATGTAAATGAGACTTGCACGTCGCAAACTTTTGAGCGCATTTGCACATGCTTGCGACGATTTTTGTTTGAGAAGAAATGTGGAAACTCGATCAGTATCATATGCGCCTGAAAAAAAATACATAACAGCAATTCAACTTTCAAGTGGACCCAACTAGAAGGGTGGGGTCACTATTTTAGCTGCTGGCCTTAAGTTTGGGAGACTTTTGTGTAAACTTGCTGGTACGGTCATGGCACCAAAATAGATGTTTCGGTATGAAATAATATATATAGCAGCCTATTTTGTTTACATTACGTGCGTCAAGTTTCGCCGAGTTTCGTCGAGGGAGGTCGACGAAACTTGACGTTGGCTGACATCGAAAATCACTCAAACACAGCCTTATCAATACAGGAAGGACGTTCTCCACACTTGCCTACGTGTTTTTATTTTCAAAGGCTATGCGCTGTAGCAGGGCTGAACGTTTCAAGACAAAAAAAACTCTGATTTTCTTTGTTTTTTTTTTCATAGATTGCGTACTATGATTTTTCAGGATCCACACAACTAGGACTCCGAAGATGTCAGAATCCATAATGCAACATCAGACCAAAACCAGACTAAGGGATTTAATTTAAATGGCGCACGTTGAAGCGCGAAGTGACTTCACAGCGCCAGCACACGGAAGTGTTGATTGGAGATTTGGCCCTGCCCTCGCTTGGGTGAAGCCGATCTCGCTAACCAACGTGCAAAGTGTCCAGTCGGCGAGGCTTCGTGGTCGGCGCCGACTTGGAGGAGCAAGTCGGCTTGGTTGCCCGACCTCCTTGGAGCCGACTTTGGTGGTTAGCCGACTTCAGTGAAGCCTGCCACGGTAAAGCCGACCACAACCAAGCCAACTTCCTGGTAAACGCTGACTTGGAGGATCAAGTCGGCGTGGTTGGCCGACTTGCAGAATAGCCAACTTCAGAGAAGTCGGCTACAGCGGATCCGACTTCGGCGAAGCCGGCCGTGGCGTTGGTGAACAAAGTGAAGTCGGCGGCCGACGAAGGTGTTCGTCGAGATGAGCCGACTTATGGACGTCAGTGGCCTCCTCTGGTCGACCGTGTAACCTTGCCGACAAAGTTTTGCAGAGTGCGCGAACGTCGTCCAGGTTGTCTTTGCGAAGTCAACCGGTGTGGCAGCATGTGGTCGACGTGGTGCGTCTAGCGCAACTGTCAGCATGTGACCGACTTGGCACCTGCGCAATGTGCGTAGCGGTGCACAACGTGGTCAACCGTCTATTTGCACCTACGAAGTAAGTGCGCACATGCGCGTGCAAGGACACATGCGGTTGCAATGCTGGCCAGCCGCCTTGCAGCAGCATTGGCAAGCTGCCCTGGTGCAGCGTTGGCAGGTCGCCGACTTGCAGTGTTGGCAAGCCACCTTTGAGTTGCGTTGGCACGCCGCCGACTTGCCGTAGGTGGATCTTGTGTGTTGGTGTCCAAGCATGAGCTTGACAAGGTAGTGTTGATGGGAGATGCGAAGCCGGTCCCGCCCTCGCTTGGGCGGAGCCGACTTCACATTCGGGTGCGCAGGAGATGCGGCCGGCTGCTATTAGTGGTAGACGCTGACTTGGAAGAGGAAGTCAACAGACTTGGTCGACTCCCGCGGCACCACTGTAAAGCTGCCGATGAGGATAGTCGGCGGCCGACCTCGGCCTGGGCGGTCGACGAAAGGAGTTCGTCGACCTACGGCCGTCGACTGACTGGCAAGTCGACGCCGTCTTCGGGGCTTACCCGGTTGACCAAGTAACCAGGGCGACGAAGTTCAGCGGGGGTGCACGAACGTCGCCCAGGCGGTAATGGTAAAACCAACAACGTGGCAGCTCGCATGGTCGACGTGATGCATTTGGCGCAACTGATGCCACGTGGCCGACCTGGCACCTGTGCAACCTATGTTGTGGGGCACACCGTGCATGACGTCTACAAGCACCTGTGAATGCAACGCTGGCAAGCCGCCTTGCTGCAGCGTTGGCAAGCTGACCCACGTGCAGCGCTAGCAGGCTGCCGACTTGCAATGTTGGCACGCCCTCATGCTGCGCTAGAGGTCGACCCGCCTGTGTGCTAGGTTTCTAGGCCTCTAATGTAGTCGTTCTTTCCATTGCCTTTTGCATCATTGTGTAATCCTTTTGCTAGTGAACCCCTTGCTAATCTGCCCTGTGAATGAGCAAGTAGAGAGAATACGAGCAAACGCTACGATCACTCGTACCACCCATGCCTTTCCCGTGGTGCAGTTCCTAGTGCATAATGACTCTCCACAGAGCAGTGAGGGGAAGGAGAGACTATCAGTAG